GGAAAGAGAAGGGATCTTCATGGAAGACACAGCGTGGTAAGTTTCTCATTATTCTGAATCCTTTACATGAGGATAACTGTAGAGGTTTTGCATTTTTATACTTACTGCTTTTTTGTTTTGTGTGTTTCCATGTTTTTAGTAAAGGTAAGCTCTAGTATCATGAGATCTCACAAGATTAAAGTTGGAAAAACTCCTAATGTGTTGCAGTGCAATGGGACTGCAAACGCCATTAAAACATATAGTTTGCATCAAGCTGAAGTGTCTATAATAACACAAATCAGCTCTAAAATATGAGCTTAATATTTTTATTTCTCTTTGGAACAGTTTCTTGAGCAATCGATCATCAGACATTATTTTTATTTGGCCCTTTTTTTTTACAAGGAGAAGATTATGGGTCAGATAGCACTGAAAAATTTTCAGCCACAACTACTAACTTTTCCTAGTTAATTTTAAAATTTATCTGAAACAGTGCCACAGATTAAAATAAATAGTAGATAAACTGTCAATAAAGCAGGTACAAGCATGTATTTAAGAAGTGGTGCTTAAAGAAAGAACTGTGTCAAGAAATCTCGTCAGACGCTGCAGCACAGCGTCAGTCGGTGGTCTTCTGTGGAAGTCATGGTTGAAGATAACGGAGGCGTACGTTTTGACGCGCCTCATACAATGTCTGTGTATTTTGCCTTAAGGTAAGGTTTCCCGTCAAGCCAATTCACGAACCCCTCGAAAACCTGTCTCATGGTTTTGTCTGGTGACATCATCACTGAAAACGTCTCCACCACATTAATTGTTTGCGTCGCAGCAGTTCACAAACATGTCGGGCACTGGGCGCGTTCAGGCCCAGTAGTGAGGAAGACTCTCCTGTTCCACAGTCAGTTTAACTGGACACAGACTTGATCCCGACTTCATAATTTGTTGACTTTGAAGTTGACAATTTAAAGTTTGAACCTCTTGGTAAATAGTTTGAATTGAGACGAAAAGAGTCGATTAAACTTTGAGGAGAAAGTGACTCAGACGGTACGGTTCAGTTTTTGTACAATCTAAAGTCAATAAATCTCTTAATTTGCTGTTGCTTCACTCCTCTGTGTTGTGTTTAGGCTTTTAGACAGTAACCGTCTTATCGTGTTCAGTGTTTCCCCAAGTTAACTTGCCATGGCGGGGTGCTCATCTTATCTGTGATTTTTGTTGACGGGAGGATGGAGACGTGTCTGAGTGCAGCTTGTACCAACAGTTTTTTACTGTGTGTGTGT